CCGCACATCCTCGCGTTGATCGGCTGCCAACCAATCACGCGTTGGCACATCTTACCCAGCACTACAAAGCACAGTAGTCGCTCGATGCCCGCTTTTCCATACCTTTTGTCCCGTCCAGCAACGTTCCAGTAGTACTACGACTTTGAAGTTCGTCATAGATAAACCTATCGCAGATTTGCAGTTCCGAGTTTTCAATCGTACCGTGATGGTACCATATTCTGCGCACTTAAGACATTTTCTACAAAAAAAGAGTTTCTAGAAAAATTCAGCATTGTTTTGAAATATTTTGATTTAGTATTTGTATAGCTCTAGCATGTAGGTATACATAAAAAATATAAATGTTGATCTAATGAAAAACGTTAACATGAAACAAAGTATTTTTTGAGTATGCGATGATGTTCCTAATTCTGCGCATCATTTTTCAAATGTTCCATATTCTGCGCACTGTGTTCCTAATTTTGCGCACAAAAAAAAACAGCATGTAGAATCATGGTATTTATTCTTGTATGAGTATTAAGCATTTATGTACAAAAAAATTAATCAACTTTTCTTGGAAATCTTTCTAAAGCAAACTTTATCATAATTTAAACTTTATCACTTTTTTCACAACTGTCTATTCAATTTCTGCCAAATTAGTACCAGCTCCTTCAGCCTTTCCTTAAAGCTTTCGCTGGCGTTTTCCAGTAAGTGTTTCCAGCTTTTTCTTCGCTGCCAAACTTTTTTCTTCTCGAATGGCCTTCCTTTGTTGTTTTTCTTGCTCTTGCGTATGCTTTTCTAATTCCATCGTTTCAAAATAAGCCTTGAATGCCTCACTCGTAGCCACAGATGGAGGTCGTGGTTTATACTTCTTTAATTTACGAGTTTTACGCGCCGCAGAAGAGGGTACTTGAAAAGCTTTGTCGAAAAAGTCATCGTCGATGCCATGTTCTGGTTCTGCAATGTGCGTGGTTCCAATATTCACGTTTGAAGAATCTGTCACTGATTGATGCTGACTTCCACCTGCTTCTTGCATACAATCCGGACGACCGGTACCTGGGTCAATAGCGCTTCTGATAATGGGTTTCCCAACGATAGAATGGCAATCATCTGAAAATATCAATTTTGGGAAATAAATATACTAAATTGGTACGTTCTCATAAACAACGAAAATTTTCCATCGCCAAAGGGTTTCCTTGGCTGATATCACCTGTTTCCAACGGAGAAGGATCTTTTTCGACAGTGCTTTGAAGTTGGTACTTAACAAGAAGCTTTCGTCGATCGGCTAAAAATATTGTTGCATGCATGATTAGGAAAACTGTAAATGTCATAGTAAGATACTACCGTCTAGATCAAATTCCTCGAATCCACGGAAGCAATCGTCCTCTGACGAAAAAGTCGTGTTAACTTTCAACAATTTCTCAGATTCTACATCTTGTTTTACACGTTGCCACACGTAAAACAAATTAGCGTCTTCAACCTGTCCTGGCCATTGTACCTTTTTTTGATTTTGTTCAAAATTCTTCAGTTGTCGCAATGTGAGATGTGATTCTAATCCGTCCAAGATAACAGTCGCATTGGAAAATGGGCTAGCATCTGATACGGAAGAGCTTGTGGTTTGAACCGTAATGCTGTGCTGGATTTCCGTATTTAGAAGCATCTCGTAGTTGACAGCGTCTGGATCCCACGGCAATAATCCACATTTGCGAAATCCGTTTTTGATATTTTTTGCCATATTTGGAATATTATCAACAGCCCGTTTTAGCAACGGCGTAAACTCGTGCCTTTTTATGGGTTCACCAGCATGGAAAGTGCGCCACTCAATAAGATGCTTATTCCACTGCACTTTCAACCCTCTGAAAAACGACACATCTAATGGCTGCAGTACATGGGTGGAATTCGGGAAGAGACAAATCAGTACAATCTTTTTAGCTCGACAAAACTCTGTTGTTTGAAAGGACACATGGGACTTGTGCCCGTCGACGAAAAGCACAATCGGTAGAGGAATATCGCTTTTGATAATCCACGGATAGAACACGTTCTTCAGATAGTAATAGAAGGTTTCCTGGTTCATCCACCCCGATACACTTTTTCCGATAGCCCAACCATCTGGCGCACTGTTCGCTATTTCCGCAGGAAGCCGCTGCTTGTATGGAAATAAAACTAATGGTGGCGCCAGCGATCCGGCTGCATTTGCCGAAAATAATACGGTGTAGCATTCTTTCTCCGAGTTTGCGTTAGCCGTGTGAACGTATTTCTGTCCGACTTTCGCTAGAACTTTCTCTTTCGTGGGAACCAATCGCATAGACGATTCATCCATGTTGAAAACGCGTTGTGGGTTTTGCCAAACATCACGTAACTCTTCCTGATGGATGAATTGCTGAATTTCACGAAACCAATTCCGAATTTGGTTCTCTGTAACACACGTCCGTTGTTTAGACAAAGCGCTTGGAATTCTACGAGCAATGTTCGGATGTCGGCCAAGAAAATGTTTTAACCATTTACGTCCAGGAGCTTTTACAGCGAACGGATTATTCGACTTGCGTGTAATACTAAGGTAATATGCCACGGATACTTTTAAGCGCAAGGAATCTACTGGCAAGCCAACTTTTGCTGAATCAATTATCCATTGCACAATACGATCCTCCTCTTCCTTTGTTAGAACGGTTGGCTTACCGGGATGATGAGATACGGAGCCGCGAGCCAGTGTTGCTCTTAACGTACTTTCCGGAACGTGATGTGCTTTGGAAGCTTGGCGAATAGAAAAGCCCTTCTTTATCATTAGAATTGCCGACTCAACTTGCTGGGGAGTGTACTGCATATGTTTTCTTCCGGAACTCATTTTCTCGACCTATCCGCAGATTTAGGAACATGCAGTTAATATTTGTACCATATTTTGCGCAAAATAAATTACTTCTTTTACAGTGCAATATACTCGATATGCACTGAAATCCATTTGGATCAAATTAAAAATACTTACATCTAGCGATCAGCACAAAAATGAATGAAATAAACACACTCCAATGTTTACAAATGAGAAATGTTTTCAAACGGGCTTCTTAGCGCTGCTGCTAACGGATGCCATTTTGTGACGTTTTCAGTGCTGCCGGTTTTGTTTTTATTTATTTTTTCCAATAATGTCGGCAATTTCTTGAATTGGTACTTATTTATATCGTAGACTACATGATTCAGATTCATTATATCGTGTAATAAAGATGATTATAGCCGTAAATAGAATTCAAAAAATGTTTTAATGAAAAAATGCGCAGAATTAGGAGCTGCGCAGAATAAGGCACCCTCACGGTAGTTCTTATTTCGTACAAGGCTCTGTTTAGAGTCCCACGCTGGCACTAGGACGGTGATCAGCAGCTCCTAACATGGAGAACAGACGCCGTTTTGAGCCGCCCCTCCATGGTGAAAAGACGCTCGAGTTGGGTGAATCATTTCCCCTATCACCGTACTTTGGTTACCGCGCCAGTGTTCGTGTCGCACCTCTTCACTTTGTTATTGCCGGACTGGCAACATTGCCCAGGCTACGCCATCCAGCTGTGTCCGTGTTTCAGCTGGTACTCTTTTGTTATCATATGACTCGGGGAGGCGTGAGGTAGAAATTGTGAGGACCAGAGCTAGGTATTCCACTCCTTCCAGATTGTCAACTCACCATTTTGTAGCCAAATTGGGTTGTTTAATTTTGAAAAATTAATCGGCTTTTATAGGGGAAATGTAGGTAATGTCGGCCTACATGCCCCAAATTTGGGCCCATCGATAAAAGTCTGCTATTTATCAATTTTATCTAGATGAACGCGTTATTGGGACATTACTAATAGATATTTTTGGTTACTATTGAAAATTTAGTTGATTGCTGAATTTATGTATGGGCCCAAATTAGGGACACTTAGGCCGACATTACCTGCATTTCCCCTATATCATCTGAAAGAACTTCGTTTTCTGAGCACAGCGTTTTTTTTTTTCGAACCCACACACTTTCATCTCGATTTTTAAATCAAGATTTAAAGCAAAATAATAACTTCACTGTTTGACACTAAACTGACAAACTGACAGCTCGCTCCCATACAAAGTGACACCGAGAGGCGTTAATAAGGTGATTTTTGCAAATGTAATCGTACTTATTTAAAATAGTTCAAGTGTATCAAAATTGATGAAATTTTGGATTTGGATTTCATTTTTAATGCAGATTACGAATATGCATTTACCATCATACCCTTAAAGAACCCAATTCAAGATACAGAAACAAAAACTGCTGTCTTAGTAATGACCCTTGTAAGCTAGTGATCGCTTCGGCTCGGTTTATTTGGTAGACTCGAATGTTTTGAAAACTATACGGAGCCAAATGACAATCAAATCAATTTATTCAGTGCCATATTGCCCAGATGACACGCTTTACTTTCCCATATTTGGCCAACACCAACTTCCCGTCCGTGGGCGGAAGCGGAACGGAAACGGAAAGTTTGTCGATTTGGTTCTAACAGGTTCTAACTAGTTTTCCATCCGACAAGCAGGCTTACTCAGATCGGGCTTTTCCGCTGCCGCTGTCATTGCGCTTGGGTCACCAGTCCGTCAATTTTGATCAGATTCAAATTTGACGCTGACGTTGACGTAGTTTTGTGGGTCCCTCTTTAATCGCAATATATAGGAGGACTTGAGGGCTAATAAAACTTTTGGTTTTTGGCTTGACTCTCCCCGCTGTACATTGAATAATAGACTGAAACAGAAACAATTTCGCAAATAATGGTAAGCACATTCATACGAATCGTGGGTGATTTTTTGGATCAGTGTGCAAAAACAATTCAAAATCCACGTGGCGCTAATATATGTTCCCTTGGCAACGAACTAAACAAATCGCAGCAGGCCTCGATCGCAAACACCGCCAGCCGAAAGCCCAGAAAAGCACATTTTTCTTTCCGGTCACGCGTTTTTCGGAACGTTGGTTTTTTTCTCTCTACAACTAGGTTGTAAAAGATTTGTTAACAGCTTTCTGTTTTTTTGTTTCTTCCGTTCGCCAGATATTAGGCAGGATTGTTTAAAATAAGAACAAAAACAGTGGCCTAATAGCAGCAGCAGCAACAAACAACCAACAACAAGCAAAATCACAAACCTCGAGTCACCAGCAGAGCAGTTGATTTCGGAAAGGATCAAGTGCGTGCAGAAGCTAATTGCGAAGAACTCATCCCACGAAGAAGCCGGAAAATACCATTATCACCAAAGAACCGAGAGGAGAGGTAAAGACAGTAACCGAATTCCTATCCATTTCGCCCTACGTCACAGTCGTGAGCAGTCCGAGGGAGCACTGTAGAGCTGGTCTCTAGAACCTTCCGGAGTAGTGTGTCAAAGGCTGTCTTTCAACTTTGTAATCAGTATTCTTTGTGCGGTCTAGCAGCTCTAGTCGTCGACGCCGATCCATCGTTTACTTTACCCCTTCTAGTTGAAAGCTCGGAAGTCCATGGCATCGGTTGGAGTGTACTCATTTCCGAGTGCTATCACCGGCGGCAATGTTGCTGGTGGGCCTGGAAGTAGCACTAACAGCGCTGTTCCTTCAGCAACCATCGTGAAGCCCATTACGGCTTCTGTTCCTTGCGCATCACCCCCTTCCCAAACGGCTGTCGTTATTCCGGCAGTTGATACACCTGCTTCAGCGCCATCAGCTGTAACTCCTGCACCTGCTGCAGTGGCAACTTCTATTGCCAGTGCACCCTCTGCCGTTTCCAATGGTGTGGCTTCGTTGATCTCAATGTCACCAACACCGGAAATTATTCCTCTGGTCAAGCCGATTGCATCTTCGTCTTCTGGAGCAATATTTGCTGAAACGTTCAAGCTGAGCGATGGAACTCCTTTCGATGGATTGGAATCCGAGTCTAGCGGTGGACGTGGACCGGGAAGTGTTGGGGCACCGGAATCCATCAACGGGTACTCTTTGGAACCGTGCTCGCTATCCGAGTGTATGGAACAGGATTGCACGCTTTGCCAGTAAGTATTATCATTCGTTATGTTTGGACATTTTTCGTTGAACCTTTGTCTCTTTGCAGGAACAAGTACATTTCGCCGCGCGTTCTGTCCTGTTTGCACGTCTTCTGCGAAGCTTGCCTGGACAAGCTCATGAGTGATGACGAGGCGAAGAAACTGGAAGGATTGATCGAGTGTCCTACGTGCAATCAAACAACTAAGGTGGGAACCAAGGGCATTACGGCGCTGCACCAGGACTACATTCTCACCAACGTACTGGATCTGTCGACAATTGAACCATCGATGTTGGCTTGTACTTCGTGCAAGAGCAAGGAAATGGCCATCTCTCGCTGCAACGATTGTGCCAATTTCCTGTGCGCTAGTTGTGACAATGCCCACCGGTACATGCGTTGCTTCGAGGACCATAAGGTTGTGCAGTTGGAAGATCTGCGCAAGTCCTCCGAGAAGGTCGCTATCCATAAGCCGCTATACTGTAGCGTTCATCCTCCGGAGAACTTGAAGTACTTTTGCTTCAACTGTCAAATTCCGGTGTGCAATGAGTGCTTGATCGGCGAACACAAGGGAAAGGAACACAACTATCAAATTATCAGCGAAGCCGAGAAGCCAATGCGGTCGGAACTGGAGAAACTGATGAAGGAAGCCAAGACCAAGATTGAATACTGTAATCAAGCAACTAGCGATCTTGATGCTTCGTTGCATGATCTGCAGAATCAGTTTGAGACTGCTCGGGATTTGATCAATGAATCATTTCAAAGCTTCAAGGCTGTGCTGGAAAAGTGCCGTGACAATGCTTTGAAGAATCTGGAAAAGCTCCACTCGGAACGCGAGCTGAAGATTATGGAATTGTTCCACAACGTGGAGAAATCCACCGAGAAGATTGAGAATACTGCCAAGTTCACTAAGAAGGTGTTGGATCAGGCAAACGGACCGGAATTGTTGAGCTTGAAGAAAATGATTGCAATGCAGTTCAGCAGTCTGATGGGCTCGACGCCAAAAGTGGACGTTAACTTTTCGCTAGAGTTCCAGACAAGCTTCGAAAAGTTCGATCAAATCGCTCCCGAGCTGTTCGGTACGTTCCGTACGGAGACAAGTCCACCAAGTCCGAAGGAAACGACTCCACCCCCTTCGCTGCCCGGAATGGCCATCATGATCAACAAGCCTCCGACGAACAGCAGTGGCAGTTGTGGATTGTCTCAAGGACCCCTGACTGGTTCTGTCACTGCCAGTAGCCCAATTTCGTTGCCAACATCAATGCAGTCATCGTTCGATGGCGATATCTCCAATCTAGGAGCCAGCTACATGTTGCCGCACGTTCTTACCCCAGAACCTCCGACATCCACTCCAATTGCCAACAATCATATGGCAGCTGCACCAGCAACCGTTGGAGGATCGGCTACCCTGCCAGGATTGACCAGCATCGCTGAGTACAATTTGCACCGCTTGGCCAATCTGACGGAATCCGCTAACGATATTACCGATGCGATTGTCCCAGTCAACACGCCGACCCCCTCAACCAATTTCACGTTGGCCGACCTGATTTCCGGTGATCCGAATGCCTTCCAAGCCCTTTCCAAATACAGTCTGAACAATCCGGATATACCGGCGGGACCGATGATGCCACCGCATCCCAATATGGATAACCTTTCACTGCTGAACGATTTCTCGGGCTTGCCAGGACCGGCATCGACAATGCTTCCAACTACACCCATGTCGATGGATTCTTCGCTCAGCGGCGAAATGGCAGCCATGAGTCGATTCCAGGTGAACGGACGTACGAAGGCAACTCCGATGCAAATACGCTGCAAATTTGGATCGCTCGGACAAACCAAGGGGCAGTTCAACTCACCACACGGCTTCTGTCTCGGAGTGGACGAGGAAATTGTCGTGGCAGACACGAACAACCATCGTATCGAGATTTTCGAAAAGAACGGAACATTCAAATTTTCCTTCGGTGTCCCCGGCAAGGAGGAAGGCCAATTGTTCTACCCGCGGAAAGTGGCTGTGATGCGTTCGAGCGCCAAATTTGTTGTGTGTGATCGCGGCAACGAACGGTCCAGGATGCAGATTTTCTCCAAGAATGGACATTTCATCAAAAAGATCGCAATTCGGTAGGTTTATTCATTCAAAGTGCATGGATTGATGATCACTTATCATCTTTTGTTGTCTTCAAACGTTTGCAGTTATATCGACATCGTTGCTGGCTTGGCTGTGACAAACAAGGGTTTAATCGTGGCAGTTGATAGCGTTTCCCCAACGGTCTTCATTATCTCCGAAGACGGAAACCTCATCCATTGGTTCGATTGCAGCGACTTTATGCGTGAACCTTCCGATATCGCAATTAATGGTACGGACCAGGCAACTTCCGACTCTGACAGAGAAGCGTTACTAATCTTATATTCCACTTCCCCTCTATCTACAGGTTCCGACTTTTACGTGTGCGATTTCAAGGGACACTGTGTGGCAGTTTTCTCCGAGGAGGGTACGTTCAAATATCGTATCGGTAGCGAGAAGGTTACCTGCTTCCCCAATGGTATCGATATTTCCGACGCGGGTGACGTTCTGATTGGCGATTCACACGGAAACCGCTTCCACGTGGCTTGCTACTCCAAGGACGGACAGTTGCAGTCGGAGTACGAGTGTCCGTACGTTAAGGTACGTCTACTTCGAGCATTATTCACTATCCGAGATGGATCAAATCAGATCATATTCATAGTGAATGAAAAAAGAAACTAACGGTGGTAAGCTGCAACCGGTATTATGCTCGGACTGTTTTGTTGTCGACGTCGATGTTAATCAATACGATCCTTAACAAACATTTGCCAGATCCTGAAATCAGGGCCGGTATTAAAAGTTAATCCGAGTTGGAGCTTATCACCATAAGAGAGTTGTGAGAACAGCTCCATGACATTTATAAGAAGAGTTTAGAGTAGAATTTTTAGGAAGTTCTGAGGAAGTTCCGTGACGATTTTCCAGGTCCATTTTTAATGAAAAGACTAAATTCAAAGAGCTAGGCAAAAATAAAACATTTTTTTGTTCTGCCAATGCTTGAAAAGATCGACTATTTATCTAACATTTACATTGACATTTAGAGTAAATCGGTTACAAAATCATTTTGAGAAGTTATGTTGTAAAAATATGTCAGTGAACCAGAAAATGCTTATATCGTTTTGTGAGAAAATTTAAAGGGAATAGAGTTTTGAGAGTACAATCCCAACCGAATTCTGAAAAGAGGTCAAGGGAATTCCGAGGATGATTCCAATGACATTTTGAGAAGAATTCCAAATGAATTTTCAGAAGAATTCAAAGGCGAATTTCAAGATAGATCTGTGGAAGAATTGCAGGACATTTCTAAGGAAAATTTCATGGAAACTCTAATGAGAATTCAACTTAATTTAAAATAATAATAGGGTAAGGCGGGGCAAGATGGGTCATCTACTTGATTTTTTATATTTTTGTTTGTCAACATAACAGGCTTAATATAGCCCTAATACTGGTTTTAAAAGCAAACTATCATTAGGGTTGCATTGAACTTGTTGTTATTGACAAACAAATAAATTAAAAACATGTACTAACTGACCAATCTTACCCTGTTATGGAAGGAAGCTGCAGTGAATTCTTGAAAGAATCATAAAAATGGAAGAGAATCTTAGGATGAATACTGCAGAAAATGTCTGGACTGTTATAAAGCATCCCAGAGAAAATTTCAACTTTATTTTGAAGGAAACGTTGCTTGTTTAGAACGATTGACTCATGGGATTAGTTCGCCGCGCTCCATTTCCCTCAGGAAATACATAACATAATACAAGACTGCCTGAATAGAAAAGTGCTTAAGAAAAAAAGGGACATTATTTGTTTTTTTAATAACAACATGTGAAAAGGACATACAGTCAACTCTCCACAACTCGATATTGAAGGAACCATCGAGTTATAGAATTATCACCAAACGTTACGTTACGTTTATGTTTATTGTTCCAAGATCCAACGGCTGAAGAACGGACGTTGGATTTGGTGGAAAGAACTGAAGATCGATGGCTTTCAATTTCAATTGAAGAGATTTTGGATGGGCAGGACAATTATCCACGAGGAGTACAGCATTTCTGTTCTCACTCAAGAACTTTTCGTCAAGATTTAGGACCCTGTTTTCGAACGTCACGTACCGGCAACGACTTGATGTTCTTGAAGCAGCGCGGTTTCTTACTTTTCCGATAACTAATAGTGGCAATTTCTCGCTTCCATCCATATTTGCAGCACACATGGACTGTTGAACGTTGTTTCGAATATTTTCCTCTGTGACACGATTCAGTTTGCAAGGTGTACGTCTTATCTATCTGGAATGCATTTTGTAGAACAGGTCGATTTCATCGGCATTGAAGATGTCCCCTGGTTCTTAATTTTCGATTAAGGCAAGTGAGCGCTCAACTTCTGAGCTGAACAGATGTCTTTTTGCTACAGTTCTGTGGAGATCGAACACTGTGTTTTTTTCTCTTCCTGCGCATCGCTGAGCCGTTACGTGTCGCTGCGCGTCCAAACGACTTCGCGATGGGCCGTCGAGAATCGCAAAGATTTTGCGAACGTGCCGAAGAAACCGGACAATGCCAAAGTTCACAAATACTGTGCGACCATATTGGGTCTGAAACAAGGTGAAGTGCTACGGATCCAGATCAGCAGAACCCTCGGAGTTTCTTTCGTGAAAGTCGTCGACCTAGCGTTGGCGCAATGAATCTGTGAGGAACACGACAACAAACACGAAATTATTACGGTCGACAGGGAAAAAAATATCCGTTGAAAATCACACTGGAGGAGGGAGCAGTGGAGGTGGGGCTCTTCGATTTGTCCGAGGACGTGTCGGATCAAAAAATCGCTGACTTTCTAGGAAGATACGGTGACGTAATCGCAAAACGAGAACAACGATGCGGAACCGATATCGATTTCTCTGGCATTTCGACCGGCGTTCGTATAGCAAAAATGACGGTGAAATGAAACATCGAGTCGTGGGTCACAATCGACGGAGAAGTGACGAGTGTATCGTATTTCGGTCAGCTACAATCATACGCCGATGCCGCAAAGCAGACGCCGTCGCAAAAAACGAGTCAAGTCGACTATAGTGCGAACCAAACCAACACAAACTCAAACCGAACCGCTCCCAATGCGAACCAAGCTTCCCGGCCTCGGTTCGATCCAATCTCGGCCAAAGCTGTTACCATGCCACCACCGAAACAAATTCTCCAACGTCAACAACAGAAGCTGCTACCACCACCAGTTCTGACCGAACAGAACTTCCCCACGTTAACCCCTACCTCGGCTTCGATTCCCCCATCGGACAGCGGCTCGTTGACTCCCTATACAAGTCAACAACCCCCTGCTAGCGGCGGAGTGGATCCCAAAACTGCTAGTGGTAAGTCCGATGGAAACGAAACAGATTCGTCTGTAGGGTCATGCAGCTCCAGAAGACACCTCCGCATTCGACCACCAGGCAAGAAGCCTCGCCTGGATGACAACTGCGACGACAAGCGAGATGGGAGTAACCAACCGTCCTAATGACTGAGTTCTCCAGTTACAACCTCGCCACCATCAACATCAACAATACTACGAACACAACGAAGATTGACGCTCTTCGAACCTTTGTACGAACGCTGGAGCTGGATATCGTTTTCCTCCAGGAGGTGGAGAATGAGCAACTCTCTATCCCTGGCTTTAACGTTATCTGCAATGTAGACCAAGCAAGGCGGGGAACGGCAATCGCGCTGAAAGACCACATACAATTCCCGCATGTGGAGAAGAACCTGGATGGTCGTCTCACCGCTTTGTGGGTGCAAAACACGACGCTCTGCAACGTATATGCGCCATCGGGGTCTGTTGTTCGTGCGGAAAGAGAAAGATTTTTCAACGGCACGGTTGCGTACTACCTTCGGTACAACACTCAAAACGTCATCCTCGCTGGAGATTTTAACTGCGTGCTACGTCCGAGCGACTCAACGAGTTCCAACACAAGGCCGGCTCTCCAAGTGACCGTATGGCAGCTACAGCTTCACGATCTGTGCCTGAAATTGTACCCCATAATCCCCGCACCCACGTACATCACACACAATGCGGCATTCAGGCTCGACCGCATATATGTCAGCGCTGGGCTTTGCGAGCATCTCCGGAGTGCTGACACGCACGTATGATTATTCACGGATCACAAAGCTCTAACAGCGCGCATTTGAACCGCTGAGAACTTAGAGGAATTCCAAGGGAGATGGCAGTTTTGGACCAGCCAACGAAGAAATTTCACCTGCTGGATGACATGGTGGCTCCCATGCGCGAAGCCAAAAATAAAATCTTTTTTCCGCTGGAAGTCAAGTGAACTTTTCAGGACTTTCAACGCTGAACAACAACGCCTCTACGAGCAATTACGACTCACATATGATGGCTATTACCAGAATCCCACCATGCTGGTGACCATCAACCGCGTAAAAGCAGACGTTTATATCCGGCGAGAGCATATCCACTTTTCAGACGTAAAAAACATCTATAACAGGACTGCTGAACGAACGAGGAGAGCAAAGGCTCTCTGGAGATCGAGCAACACATGTTTCGATACTTCAGGGACCTGTATGCGGCGGAAGAGACAAGGCAGGTGGGGGGAAGAAACGTTCGAAACTGAGTGAGCCGTACCCGAGGACAACCAAGCCAACGGAGCTCTAATGGCAGAGATCAGCATTTTTCCGTGCTGGGCACCAATGCTACCGACACCAGGGAGGCAGCTCCCACACCTGGACCCTACCTATCGACCCATCAACTCATGAACCGGGGACCAACGGCTTTACTTCCCTTCCGAAGGAAGGCGTGATCAGAGATGTTATGTCTCAGAACATCCCGGCGGCGCCGACTGGGATTGAACCAAGGCCTGCTGGGGTGAGAGGTAATCACGCTCACCACTACATCACCAGCGCCGCTAGAGATCAGCATTGACGAGTAAATCACCGGGGATCGATGGTTTGCCGGTAGAATTCTACCTACGAACCTTCGACGTCATCTATCGAGAGCTTTACCATAGAGGTAACTCTAAGACCAGCAGGTCCCGAAGAAACGTGCTCAACTTTTTGGATCAGCTCTGGTACTCTCTTCGGTCCCAAGCTATTCGATTCACCCCTCGAAACTTTGGAAAATCCTCTAACCCCTCATTTTATCTGTTAAACTTTCATAGCGAATCAAAACAAACATTGTGTAGTACTAGAATTTCGACTAGAATGGGGTACGTTAATCGTTTGCTTGGGACCAATAGGCTAGTCAAGTAGTGAGCCAGTTTAAAATCGTTAGTTTCGTATTGATTGTTGGCTCTACTTCGTTATTAATGAAGCTATGACGAATGAGCTCCCATCTGAATTCGCCGATGGCACTATTGTGTTGGTTAAAAAGCGAGGTGGGGATGGGACAGCAAGAGCATACCGTCCGATCAGCCTGCTCAACGTCGATTTAAAAAACCTCTCCCGCGGCGCGATGAAGGCTCGCCTGGAACGAGTACTACGGTTTCATCGAGTTCTGAGTGACTCTCAAAAATGCGCAAATACCGACTGTTCTATTTTTAAGCTACACTCTCGCTCAAAGATCGTATTGCGCAGCTATTGGCAAGGAAGCAGAAGGGGAAGATGATCTCGTTCGATCTGGTC